ATTGGTCATCAGCATCCATTAAGTAAATTTAATTTAAGCCTGGAGGTCATTGTTTCCTGTTTCTCTACTCAAGTGCCTTTATTCCCCAGGGCACTCCAAGGTCACCAAATGGTGCCTTTGCTCAGCTAGGAAGTTTTCTCTTTTCTAGGTAGTTCTACTTGTAAGGCTACAGAACTTGAATTTCTTAAGAAATTCTAGTTCTGCAATATGGACTCTAAACTTGAGTTTCACATCCTGGAAAACTTCTTCTATATAGTTTTAAAATTAATCCTTTCAATTAGTTGTAGTTGGCTTCTGTTGCTTAACTCACAAAGACTCTCGAGAGATATAAAATACCTATTAAATCAGCTTTATCATGTAAAATATAGATACTGTTAATTACACATTACTTGCCCTAAATTGGGTATTAAAATGTCAAATAAGTGGTCTAAATATTTTTCTCTAAATAATTACCAAGAAATTACTGATCATTTAAAAATGAAATCTGATTACTTGTTTTCATCTTAACTATTCTTATTTTCTTTCAAAGAAATTTACAGATATTAAAATAAGTAAAAACAGTGTCCAAGAGTGGGTTGGAAAGTGATTAAAATAGCTGTAAAGTATTTTACACCTTGAAATATTATAATATCTTGAATACTATGGATATTGAAATTTTGCCTAGTGACACAGGTGCTATTTCTGAAAAATTATAAATAGCTTTGAACTTCAAAGAGGGAAAATGACATAAAAAATTAATTACATTGCCATAGTCACATCAAAGACTTAGACAAATGTCCACAACTAGCAATTAGGGAAGGCAGAAAGGCAGTCTTTGTTCCAGAAGCCAGGTGGCCCCCAAGGGTTCTACACTATGGACCTAGAGGAAAGTGGGCATGGGGGTCACTGCCATGTATGTGGGCTTCTTCCACATCAGAAAATATAAACACAGCATTGGTTGCAGTGGCATGTGCCTGTACTGCCAGCTACTTTGGAAGCTGAGGCAGGAGAATGGGAGTTTGAAGCCAGCCTGGTCAGTATAGCAAGATCCCAATTTAAACAAAAACAAAAATACAAAAACATATGCACAAGACCCTGGGTTTGATCCCTAACACCACACCTACACCCACACCTGCACACAATATGAATAACACTGTCATTTTTCACCAACGCACGGAAACTTGTATTTCAGAATCATAGTTCAAGATCTTTTTAGTTATAAGATTTGTATTTCAGATGAAATAAGCATTTTCCCATTTCATCAAACCCTTAAGTCAAAGAAAAACTTTAAAAGAACTAGAAAAGATGAAGATACTTGTGGAGACGCCCAGTCAGAGGACAGCAGCAAACCCAGTGCTCCCAGACTCCCCATCAGCGCTTAGTGCTCCAGAGACAGATGGGGCTCTGTCAGGCACGTGGGAAAGATGGCGACAGCACTGGGGTAAGAAACACAAATAGTGGAGGTGGAAGACCTGTTCTGTGTAAACCTGTTCTGTGTTTAGTGAGAGGAGATGTAAACTCACACGCTATATTTAGAGCTGTTATATTGGGAGCCGTTAAAGCTAGAAATTGACATGCAAGGCTGGAGCTTGACCATTCTAAGAACAAAGAGCACCAGGGACACTGCTTCACCCCGAGAACACCTGCCTCCAAGACAATCTGAACAGCCATTGCTAGGACAGCAGGATGTCATGTGACATTAAGTTGTTAAAAGGTATAAATAAACGCCTCTGCAGTGAGGAGCCAGTTACCTTTCCTCCCATCAGGAAGAAAAGGACACTCCACCTGACCCCTAGCTTGTCTCTTATTTTTCTCATCCTCTCGTGGTCCTTCACCCCAAGAATCTCAAGGGCTGTCTGGGATGTGGCAAGTTACCTCAGATACCTGATGATAGTCCATGAAAACAAAAAACCCATGATTCAAACTGCTCTGAAATGTTAAAGGAAATGTATGCTTGTGTTTTTGCATTTTTTTCTAATTACGTATCAACTGGGGTATGTGTGTGTATGTGATGTCATGTTTTCTTATCTATATCAGCTATGGTTCAAAGTCTGAAGTACTTGGAATTTACTATGGTGGATATAAATGAATAACAATTAGGATCTCTGCTTTCAAAGAGCCCTTGGCATCGACCTTAACTGACTGCAAGTTCTGCTAGTTGGTCTCCCTGACCATCATCTCTGTTCTTTGTCCAGTTCACTATCTACACTACAGTTCATTTTCCTCTGCCCACATCTGCTTTCTGATCTTCTTTTGATTCTTGGCATTTTCCCATTACTGTTAGCTATCATCAGAGATATGCCTTTCCTCTCTTATTTATTAAACTAATACTTAATGAACACTTACTGCCTGCCAAATGGTGTGACTGGTACTGAATATAGAATGGTGAACAAAATATATCATGTTTTTGTCCTAATTCTTCCTTCTATGAGGCAAGACAGCTGTAAATAAAAAGACAAACAAATGGACACAGATTACTTCCATGTGCTAAAATCTGGAAAGGCAAAAACACAAACAGGAAAATATGAAAGAACCACAAAGGTACCTAAATTACACGGGATGAAGGGAGGAGGCAGAGGGAGGTGAGGTTCCATGGGGGAGTGATATTTACAGATGCCTAAAGATGGTAGGAATTGAAAGCCACGCAAAGTCTGGCAAGACAAATATCCCAAGAATCAGCATCTGCAAAGGCTCTGAGCTAGGAAGGACAGAGCTGAGTGGATCTGAGTAGCCAAAAGAGAGCAAGAGAGGCAAGGAAATTTGGGAAAAGATGAAGCCACTTTTCATTAACTTGAACTCCTCAAGCCTGAGACTCCATTTTATCTTTTGTGTTCTTCTGTCATCTCACCCTGTGCTAAGGACAGTACTTAACACTTGGGAGCTACAGAGTACGCTGAAGGATTGGGCTGCCTGTTGATTCATTTTATGGTGACATCAAGAATACATGAGAAATTACAATCCACTATGCCATCATGCATAGCTAAGCAGAACAGTCTTAAGACTATAATTCATAGACATTCTTATGTTCAAAAGTGTTACCTTTCTTGTGTTGTGAAAATGTATTTCACTGAACTCACATTTTACATCAATTGCTTATGTTACTGCTTATGACATGGGCTGTAGCTTTTTTTTCAGGTGCAGTGTAGCCCAGCTAGCTTCCAGCTTGAAGCAATTCTTTTGCTTCACCCTCCTAAGTACTGGGATTATAGGTGTGTGACACCTTGGCTGCCAGTTTATAGTTATTTATTAATGTTAAATTCTTGGACATTTAAGGATATATGAATTTTGATTTTGCAAGGGGTATTTTGTTTTTGAGACAAGATCTTGCTATATAGCCCAGGTGGTCCTCGAATTTGTGATCCTCCTGCCTTAGTCTCCCATATGCTGGAATTATCATGATACCATGTTCATTTTACAAGATTAAAAAAAATCTATTGTCTTCTGGGTCACAAATATTTTTGTAGACCCTGGGAAGAACTGTAGGTCACGAGCACTTGCCTATATGAGTACAATACCTTAGAATTAAAGGCTAAACTGTTACAATAAATAAAACTGTCAGAGTAATTCTTGGAAGGTAAGTGTCAGAAACAGGAAAGGTCACATAGCATACTCAGAACCTCCTTCTTTGTCTGGCCATCAGCTACAGATCCTGGCAAAACAGAGAGTGAGAGGTCACTACTGGTCTGAGAGGAAACTGGACTCAAAGTTTCTCAAAGTAGAAGCTAGTAAGTCAATTTGAAGCACTGGGAGATTTGGTTAAAAAGGACTCCTTTTTAAAGTTTGGAGTATCGAGATAGTCAAGCCAATGTCAAGCTATTCAGGAAAAAAAAACACAGGTGTGTTTATATGGTGCCAGACACCAAACAGGGGAACGTCTCCAGAAGATGAAAGAACTGTTGGAAACCAAACACTATGCCATCCACACAGGGGAAGGCAGAAAACTGAGCCCTGGACGGAGCAGGCAAGGTCATTAATCAGCTCCAATTTGAAAAATGCCGTGTAGAGAAAGGAGTATAGATATGATAAAGGTATAGTGGGCCCAGGCTGCCTAACAAAATCCTGTGAACCAGATGCTCAAACAGCAAAAATGTATTTCTTACAGTTCTGGAAGCTGAAAAGTCTAACATCAAGGTCCTAGCATGGTAGGTTTCATTCTGAGACTCTTTTGCTGTCTTCTGGTTGGCCACCGTCTTGCTGGGGGCTCACATGACCTCTCATTTGCATGCTGGCGTGTAGCAGGGCAAGCTCTCTGGTATCTCTTCTTATAAGGACACTAATCCCATTGTCAGATTCCAGACCCCATAGTCTCAGCTAACCCTAAAGTATCTCCCAAAGGCCTTACCTCTAAACACCATCACACTGGAGTAAACACTTCAACAGAGGAGTTTTCAGCAGGTACTAGATGGGCCATGCCAAAAGGATACAACTAAATTGGGACACCGCATTTTAGAACAGTCTTTTTGAAAAGATGGTGTAGTGTTGCAGACAAGATCAGGTGCTTCAGATGCAGATAGATCTGGACTGAATTCTATTACTGTTATTTGAAATCTCTGTGTGTCAGTTTCCTCAGCTATACAATGGAAATTTTTAATCTCCATTCTAAACATTAATGACTTAAAGTAGCTAACACAGAGCAAAGCCTTTTTGGGAGGGAAGGCAGTTGCTTGAGAGTGGAGTTTGTGATGGTAACCGGCGAGGGAGGTCCTGGCTGGTGCTGACACAGACTATCTCGAGAGTGCTGTTCTCTAGGGCTGGGGATTTAGCTCAGTGGCATAAGCACCTGCCTTGCAAGCAGGCGGTTGTGAGTTTGATCCCCAGTAGTACTGGAAAAAAAGAGTACTGCTCTCACAAAGTACTCTCCTACTCTGGAATCCCATCAACCCACAGATGTGTGAGGAAATCTGTTCATTTCATGTGCTTCACTATTAACTGTAGTTTGTGCTCAGCACTCTTACAGATATTACTTAATCTTCACTTTAACCTGACAGCCTAACAACAGCTATTATTTTTCTATTTTATAGATGAACAAACTGATGTTCAAAGAAATGAATAACCAAGCCTGTAGAATGAAATGAATAAACTAGCATCTAGAAGTTCAAAGAAATGAATAACCTAGATCATAGCTCTGGAAAACAATAGAATCTGGTTTGCATGCAGGACCTGTTGGCTTCCACTTTCAGACACCAGCTTCCCGGCTCCACACACGGGGAAGTTCAATGCTTTTCATCCAAATACCAGTGGGAGGACACTGAGGCCTAGAATGTGTGGGGTACAGTAAGACAATGCCGGCTTTGAAGGCGCTTGTGTCTCCAAGCTTGGACAAAATCCGACTGGGGTCTCAATAGAAGCTATACATGAGAAGACTGCTGGCAGTTGTTCAGGGGCTGTGGAGCCAGGGAGCAATGCCAGGACGCTGTAGATGGGTACACGCTGTTCCATTTTATGAAAAGAAAGTTGATTCTGCACCGAAGATGTGAGTCCTGGGTAAAGATCGTCAAGGGCAATCTATAAACGTAAAAGGAGAATTAAGTGCTGTACCAGCAACTTTTCTCTGAGAAGAAATCATCCTAGTCAAAGCTAACTGCCCTTTATGATAAGGTAAAAGACCGTTATGTTTCTATTTAAACAATGCACTCTGTTCATCACAATGAACAATTTGGAAATGTATAGACAGATGGATTCATCATAACTAGGAAATATTTTTTGAGATTAATAAGGAATATTAAATTTCATTGTCTCCAAAAAATACAGGATTTTGGTTATTCAATTTTTTAAAAAAGTTGATGTAATCATAGATTTACATGCAGTCATAAGAAATAATAAACATCCTAAAAAGTTTGTTCACCTACCTCTAGTGATCATATTTTGTAAAACTTTGGTAAAGTGATAAAATCAGGACATTGGTGTCATTACAGTCTACTGACTTTATTTAGGTTCCCTCAATTTTGCTTGTACTCATTGACATATGTATGTTAAGTGCTATATAATTTTATCACCTCTATGTAAAACTGTCCAACCTCTGCAGTCAAGACACTGAACAGCTCTAGGTAAGAATCATTTTCACTGGAGGAGATGTAACTTTAGACTGTAAAGGACAAGACAGGGAAAAGAATGCTGTAGGTAAGACAAGAGCAAAAAAGATCATCAGAGGCATGGATGAATGTTGGGTATGGGGGAGGGCATCTGCTCAAGGAAAGCATTTAGCAAATTATAGGTGAGGTAATTAGGTCAGCTGGGCAAGCTGCAAAGCCGTATTATAAATAGTCTTAGACATCAAGGACCATACCACTCAGACACAAAAACAGTGTGTTGCCTACCTCTTGGAAGGTATTATGATATCCATGCCTATAGCCACTGGTACGAGGCATTGGTGTGTTTGCATGTGGTGTTGCTTTTGTATGAAACGCTTTCCCAGATACTTTTAGTCTAACTCTATCTCACTACTCAAGTCTCACTTCCGTCTCAGGTACTCTTTCCTGGGTCAGCCATCTAGAATGCTGGCCCCACCCTAGCTCTGCTACACGTCTTCTATAGAACTTTTGGAGACAAGATCTTACCACGTAGTCCAGGTTGGCCTCAAGCCTGAGACCCACCTGCTTCAGACTCCTGAGCGTTAGGATTATGCAGGTATGTGTGCCACTATACCCACCATAACTTATTTTTTAAAAGTCATATGTATATATTTATCTGTTTATTTCTCCCCCACACACACTAGCATATAAATTTCTCAAGAAAGTGAGTCTTGACTATTTTGCTTACTGCCATAACCTACTGCCTTGTAGAATATCAGTACACGTTAGGGACATAAGAGTTGTGGAAGGAATAAGCAGCCAACAGGCTATCTGTAGAAGTTTGTGATCTGTCTTGCTTTGGAGTTCCTTTAATTTTTTTTTCTCTCCTTTTTTCCCTTCCCCTTTATTTTCCCTGACTTTGTGGATACAGAATGAGCAAACAAACATTATGCTTATGAAGGCTTCCCAAATTTCACTTCTAACCCTACAAATGAATGCCTATAAGACAGAGTGAAAGCATAAGGGGTATTACTTGTTAACATGTGATATGACCAGGCTCCAGAAAGGGATAGTCGTTGACTTACAGATTTTGTGCCTGTGTAGAATACTGGGCAGTAGCTGAGATGTCCTGTACTCATAGAGCAACTCCTCTCCTCTCTCTCTTCTCTCTTCCCTTTCCCTCTCCTCCTCTCTTTCTCTCTCCTCTCCTATATCCCTCTCCCCTCTCTTCCTTTCTGCTCTCTCCTTTTCTGCCTTTTCCATCCTAACTTTCCCAAACTGCAACACCCAGCTCAGTGTCCTCTGCCAGGTGATGACGCATCCTCACCTATGATCTATCCCAGCAGATCAGCTCTACTCTGTCATGAGGATATGCTTTCAGCTAAGCTCCAACCTTGAGTAAATTGATAGACTTTTCTTTTCATTGCTAGGAGCAGAAAGGTCAACAGCACAGGTATCCAACATCCAAAATGATCTCTGGAGTCTGGGGTCACGATTTCTGGAGGAAACTTGCAGTTTAATATTCTTTAGCTCCAAAGCCAGTTTTCCATCCTTGAAAGTGCAGACCCCTCAGAGGAGGGTGACTTGGGGTGAGGGTCCTTCCTGTAGCATAAAAGTGCCCTAACACGGGACCAAGGGAATAGTTGGCAAGTCCAGATGGAAGGCAGACTGGAGTTCATTGGGCTCTTCTTGAAACTTGTGCAAGCTAGAAATCCTTTTGAAAAAGGAAGGTGAGAGGTTGTGGGACGACAGATGTGCGCAGGATGGGATGCACACTTCCCAAACCGTGGGCTCACTCAAGAAGCTGAGGACGAGATGGGATAGGGTCGGCCACTTGGGTCTCAGTGTGACCCAAGGAGGTGGTTCAGGGAGGCGTTTACAGTAGGTCCGCATACTGTAGGCCTTGGCACAGGGAGGTTTTCAAGTTTATAAAAAGACTTTGTGTGGAAGCCACAGAGAGATGAAGAAAGTGCAGGCCTAAGAACAAAACTTAGGGAGAAGGGGCGGATCAGAGCGGTTAGTAAAGGTGATCACAAGCTGTGCAACAAAATTAAGCTCTTAGGATGCCTTTATCCACTTCTCTGTTTTAAAATGCCATTTGTGAAAGCCAACGTTTTCCTTCCTCTTTCCCCAGCCAATTAATAGAAAGCATCTTATCCGCAGGAGGGGACCCGCCCCTCGGGGGGCAGCGGAAATGGGACCTTCTCAGCTGGGCAGCGCCCTCCTGAAGCACTTCAGAGCCTAAGTGGCTTTGTGGAAGCACTCGGCCTGGGTGGTAACCTGAATTAGTAGCTGAGGAGAAAGCAAACTGACTCACTTAGATTGGTGAGTGTGGCTAGGGGAAGAACCGGAAGGGCTGATCAGGAAGATGTCTTACATCAAAGGAAACCACAAGGCAAAGAAAGTAGAAGCGTTTCTTCTTGATCAGCGGCAGTGAGCTAAGCTGTCATTTGTAAGGGGAAGGGAAGGGGGCAGAAAGTACAGCAGCAGAGCCACAAGGAGACTTTCCCTTCCTTCCTTTCTCTTTCCCTTCCCCCTCTTTCTTGTTTTTTTTTTGGGGGGTGGGAGGGGGAGGGGTGGCTCTGGGGAACCAGGGATTGATGTCGTGACCTTGAGCTGCCGGGCAGCCTGCTTGTGCACCCAGGCTCCTCTCTCTGTCTCTCTCTCTCCCTCTTTCTCTTCCTTCTCCCTCCTTTTCTTTCTTCCCATAAAGCAAGTTCTTCTTCATAAGAAAGAGGTGAAACAAGAAAATGTAAAGTTAATTTTTAAGCTAAATGCCTGACAGTGTAAGTGATCTTATCTTTTTGACAGAAATAAAAATAAAGGAAAGTAACCATCTCTTTCTGCACCTTTTTGGGGGTACACACACACATATTTTAATAGGAGAGGATTTATTAGATTGGCTTACATGATCTAAGGCTGAATAGTCCTAAGTAGTCCTCAGTGTCTATCTGCAGACAGGGGAGCCTCAGAAACCAGTAGTTATTTAGCCCCCAAAACCCTGCAAGTTCAGAACAATGAGTAGCTTCAGTCCAAGGCTGAAGGCCTGGATGCCCCCTGGAGAGCTGCTGGTGTAAGTGTCTGTCATTTCTCTAAAGTTTATCGTTCTTTGTGGAGTACTTTTATCAGTATAGGGGATTGAACCAAGGTCTTCACACTGCGTTACGTCTTCCTACCTTTCACTGTTTTTTGTTTTGAGACAGGGTTTCACTGAGTCCCTTAGTTGCCCAGGTTGGGCTCAAACTTGCCATCCTCCTGCCTCAGCCTTGCAGAGGGCTGTCGTTACAGGTGAGCACTGCCACACTCAGTGGATTTCTGTCCTTTCTTTACAGCCCTGCTGGTGAGAAGGGACAGGCTTAACATGTTTCTGTATTTCAGAGAGGGGCTGGTCTGGCAGTCTGTGGGGAGGCAATGTCACTGAGGAGCCGCCCCCCATCCCCTGGAGGCTCTGCTGACACAGAATTTGCAGAGACTGCTACTTTTTGTGCACCTTCATCTTCTGGAGATTGTGGCAGAAGCTCCTAGGAGATGCTGGGCAGGCTCTAAGGTAGCTGAGCTTGCTAACATCATATGCCTTGTGCTGGGGTCAGGCTAGAGCCTTTGGCAGGGAGGGACAAAACCACAGTTGCTTTCCTGGCTCCCATCCACCTAGGCTGACCAACCCCCAAATTCCAGACTTATGTAGGATGTTGTAGCTGGGCATAACTGATGCCATCTTAAGCCCTGCATTTAACTAGTTCCCTATATTCAGAAAAATAAAAATTACTCAGGGTCCCATAAAAAAAGCAGAATGAACTGTACCTACAAGAGAAAAATTGCCCTACTCAACAAAAGAAGCAGGATAGCAGTTTCAATCAAAAATTAGTAAAAGAGCCGAGCCAAATTGTTTCCGACAAGATGTCTTTTGTGATTCTCTCACAGAGTTTAAAAACTGTGTAACTTTTCAGTTCAGGGGCACTTGTTTGGACCCTAAACTGGGGAAGTCTATATTTGAGTGGTCCTGAGCTCAGTTAATTAAATTCCAAATTTATCAGTTTGGCTGCTTAGATTCCTATATTGTTGTTTATGAACCCAGCTCATAGGACCCACACAGACTGGATACCATGTGAAGAGTCTCCTTGGCCAATCACTGCCACCTCTCCTGAAGCAAAAAGATTTCCTCTAAGTAAGCCACAGGTAGCCAAGCGCCTCCCTCAATGCTGAGTGTTACAGCGACTTAGCAATTACCCATGCATCGTTTAACGTTCCTCCTGATTTGTGAGTGCTTCAGTGTGGCTCCTGAACACCACTGCCAGGAGGCCAGCAGGGTCTGAGCTTGCCGGCTAGGGAGGAGGCAGACTTGAGGTGGGGTCAGCCAATTCCAGCGGACTTGTGGTGCTCTACATCTCTGTTGGGAAATCCCTTGAGTTGCAACTGTGGAGAATGCAGAGCTCTACAGCACAGATAACAGAAATAACTCGCCAGGCCAGACTGCTTTCTTTCTCAGAACAATCCCATCCATGGCTGTAAACTTAGCTGACTTCTCTAGAAGAGAAGATTGTTATCAAACAGGCCAGGGCTGGCTTTAGAAGGGAAGACCTGCGGTGTGAGAAAATGCCCTCGGCGCTCCAAATGTCAGCTGGAACAAAGGGAGAGGAAGGATGTGAATACTAGTGTTAGGACTGCCACAACCCTGTCCTCTGTGCTTCCCATCAGGACTCTCTGTCCCAGCCCCCAAGAGGCTACAAAAAAAAAAAAAAAAAAAAAGGCCAGGTGAGGAATTTGTGACACTCCTGGGACCCAGAGAGTTCCTCTTTCCCTCCTCAGCCAGTCTCCCTCATCTTCCTTGTGGGCCACCTAGAAAATGGTTTGGATGACACCGCATAGAGGCCAAATGTGGAAAATGCTCAACAGTTTCAAATTTTGAGATCCTGCAAGAGGACCCATACATGTGATGAGTCAAAAAGGTGAGGGTTGGAGTCTCAGAGGTTAGGTTGGTTAACTTTCCGATTGCTAAGACGAAACACCTGATGTCCACAATTTAATGTACAGGTTTATTTTGGCTCAGTTTTGTGGGTTCAGCCCACTGTCAGTCAGCGCTAAGGCAAAGACCTCAGGGCGAAAGGGCCTGGCAGAGGGAAGCTGGTTACCTCAGAGAGGCGAGGAGGCACAGAGGGAGAAAGGAGAGACGGCTGGGACAGGAACACACCCTTCCAGGTCACACGGTGATGTGCCTCTTCTTAATCCACAGTCAGCTACGGACTCATCAATCCACAGATAATGTTCTCCTAATCCAATCACCATACACATATATGAGACTTTTGGGAGGGAGACATATTAGATCTAAACCATAACGAAGGAAGCCAAAAAAATTATTTATGACCTGAAGTTATGTGTTCAGTATTAATGCAACAAATTAAAGCTGACTCTACACCGCACACCGTGCTAAGCACTTAGAGTAAGAAGTAGAATATGGCACAGAGTCAGATATGTAAACACTAGCTGTCATGAAAGAAGCTCCCAAGGAAAAACATCAAAGCAAAACTATAAGGTCACTCTGTCCCATTTCTTCTGCGAGGATAAGCTGCTGGTGGCTCTCTTGTAACAGATAAACCTTTCTCCTCCTGTTCTCTCTCTCCTTTTTCCGTTTTCTTTCTCTTTCTTCCTCTTCCATTGCTAGCTAGTGTTGCTCAAGGGTGCTCCCCTGTCACACTAACAACACAGGGGTTCAGACCCATGTTCTGACCTCGTTCTGTAGATGTTGATTCTTTGTTCTGAGGAAACAACATTTCTTGATGGAGTGAGGACACGGCCCTCCTTAGCCCTTGCTAGAGAGTAGGCTCATTGTGTTAGCTTATTTTGTGAGCAGAAACTTCCCAAGCAACAATAAATCAAGTTTAACCTGGGCACAGTGGCTCACGCCTGTAATCCTAGCACTTGGGAGGCTGAGGCAGGAGAATGGCCAATTTTGAGGCCAGCCTGGGCTATATAGTGAGTTCAAGGCCAATTTGCACTACATAGCACAACCCATCTCAAACAAACAAGCAAACAAACCCCTAAAGCAAGTTTAATTGAAGTTTAATGTCTAAACTCATCACAAAAATAACTCAACACTGAGAAAATGAATGGTTTGATTTAATGCGGTTTTTAAAAAAAACTTTAGTTTTTATCTATGAAAGATAAAACTTTGCAACTACTATC